CCTAAGGAAAGTCATCTGACTGCAGTCAAGAGAATCTTTCGTTACTTAGCTGGCACAATGAATCTAGGTCTATGGTATGATAGTGAGTCAAGTCTTGATTTAATTGGTTATAGTGACTCAGACTATGCTGGATGTGTTGTTGATCGTAAAAGTACTTCCGGGACATATCAATTTCTCGGAAATTCTCTCGTGTCTTGGTTTAGCAAAAAACAAAGCTCTGTTGCTCTATCCACCGCCGAGGCTGAATACGTGGACGCTGGCCTGTGCTGTACTCAACTCCTTTGGATGAAGCATCAACTTTGTGACTACGGGTTAGAAATTAAGTCCATGCCCGTAGTGTGTGATAATACGAGTGCAATTAACATGGCTAAAAATCCCGTACAGCATTCTCGAACCAAGCACATAGAAATTAGGTATCATTTCATTCGAGAATTGATTGAAGAAGGCCAAAGTCAGCTTGAGTTTGTGCCTACGACGAATCAATGGGCGGATATTTTTACTAAACCTCTAGGTGTTGATCAATTTCTAACTATTCGTCGTGAACTAGGGCTTATTCTGTCTAGTGAAATTAACGATTTAGGTTATAACTAACCTAAATTGTTAAAAACCAAGTTAATCTTATTTAAGGGTTGATTATGGCTTTTAGGACTGATCATAATCAGTGGCCCAAGCCTTCTCTATTTTACCTCATTTAATGATGGACCTCGGCCCTCCTTTGCTAAACCCACTCTCCTGTCTGTGTGGGCCTAAGCCCAATCTCATCCCTAGAGTGCCTCTCTCAAAGAAAATGCAGGCCGAAGCCCAAATCCTTCCCTCTGCGAATTCCTCCCTCCGCCGGTTCAAGTCGCCGCTCCGACTCCGGTCTCGGGCGTGAGATTCTGGGAAAGTAAAGACTCCGGTCTCGGGCGTGTGATTCTCTACTGTCAAAAATCCCAATCGAATATCTTCCTTCTGTTCAATCAACTTCCTTCCAAAATCTTCTTCTTAGATTGAGGGAAGTTCATGTCTGATAATAGAAGGTGCAGTAGAATCGAATCCTTTCTTCTTAACTGCTCCCTCAAATGAGCTGATCTGATTTTCACCCAGCTCAAAATACTTTCCTTCGCTTGATTCAAGGATTGTGATTAACCTCGACCTTCCATCTTCTTCCCTCAACATCGTCTCTTGCATCATCGATAAAATGGAAAGACAAATCCTCCGCCAGCAGAGGCAGCAATATCACTTCGTCAGATCTCAATATTCCAGTAGAGCAGATTCGACCTTCCCCTTCCCGAAAACATTCCAAAACGTGTTCTCACCCAGCCAGTATAAAAATCAGTCTCGGCCATGGGAATCTTCATCCCAGCCTCCTAATCAAAATTAGCCTTCCTCAGCCTCACCATCGAAAAGAAGCAGCCCTCCCCTCTGTCGCGTCATGGCGCCAAACAATCCCCTCCTCAATGCACATATTGCTCCTGCTGCCATTTTTACCAATCGAGGTTTCCGAAACCCGGAGGCCTACTCCAGGTAATCTCCGAAGCTTTCAAGATCGAGCTCTCCATCCTTCATTCATCATTCCTCCCACCACCTTCAATCGGTACAGACTGTGAGTCAATGGGTATCTCAATGATCTTGGGTGGAGCTCCCTTCTCCAAAACCGTCTTCTCGATCAGTGCCCTGAAGCTGTGAGGATGTTCTACGCAAGTATGCAGTGCGGCCCTGGTCGTAATCCGTCGTACTTCACCACGACTGTCTACAATTTCAGTGTGACTGTCACTGCTGAAATTCTGGCCAACTTGCTGCACCTTCCTCATGGCGGCTACACCGCTGGAACTACAGAAGAATTCGACAGCTATGGGTTTCATCCCATAGACACCATGTCATACCTAGCCAGCGACTACGGGCAGTACCAATCATCGATGTTCTCCGTTGAGCGGCTGCCGGATGATCTGAAGCCACTGCATTTCTACATCTCGCGTATGTTTCTCCCTCGCGCTGCTGAAACGACTACTACTCTTGAAGAAGCTGATCTCTGGATTCTGTTCAACGCAAGGACAAGCTGTCCTATCAGCTATGCTTCTCTTATGTTCAATCACATGATTAAATATAGAGAGGAAGACTGTAGTGAAAAGCTCCCATTTGGACCGCAGATAACCTCCTTGTTGGCAATTTTGGGGGTCGATTTGCGTGGGAAACTCATTAACCGAGAGGTCCACGATGACCTTCAAGCCCAGCATGTTCTTCGCCACACGCTTTCGGTGCTTGGACCCAGAAAGCTTGCCAAAGTTCAAGGGGGAGACAAAGCTGCTAAGGATGGAATAGATTCTGAAGAAGAGGTAAATGATGTGGAAGAGACGGCGTGGATGAAGGGCAAGGCAGCAGAGCTGACTGCTGTTGAAATCAGCAGCCTTGACAAAGGAAAAGGGGTAGTCGAATGGTCTGCAAAGCGGAAGAAGTCTCTGAGTATGGACCACGTACAGGAAGGAATAAGGCTGGAAAAGGAAGGAAAGAACCTGATTCGTGACTTCAAACTGGTCCTGAAGGGAAAAGAGGCAAGTTCCTCTCGCAAGCGAGTCAATAGGGTCCTGTTCGTGCCTTCGGAGGATGAAGAAGTCGATCCATCTGAATATGCATCATCTCCGGAGTACACCTACTAGGAATCACCTTACTGTTAGACTTAGGGGGAGTTCCATGCATGTTTTTTCTTTGATTAACGAGTCTGTTTTGGTTATTAAGTCTGGTTTGAGTGTTAAGTTTGCTTAAGGGGTTAATTAAAGTTCTGGTTAAGATAGGGTCTAGGTAGAAGTGTTGAGACTTTGTGTCAAGTGTCTGGTGGTGTGTCTTATGTTTCCTTGAATAAAATGGACTCCTATTTGGCTCTAGTTTACATTTGATGCTTACTGCCATGATATAAGGAATGGACAGGCTGCACCAATGGTTTGTTTAAGTGTGCAGGTTTTGATCCTTGCGAGCAGCTTAAAGGGTGAACTTTGACAAGATGAAACAGCTTCTGGGACCTTCTATTCAGGGGGAGAAAGTCAGCCATTGTCATGCTGAGGGGGAGAATGTTAGCATCAACTTGACAATGGCAGAGCTTCTTGATTCAACTTGAAGGCCAAGGCAAGATTCAAACCAATGTGAGAAATCAGTGGCTGTCCCAAAAGCAGTTAAGGCAAGTTCTCAAGACAAAAAGAAGGAAGAATATAAACTTACCATTCAAGAAGATCTCAAGAGAGAATTGAAGAGCAACGGCTAGTTGGTGGAGGCTATAAATAGAGGCAAGACTGAATCAGTAGGTAACCTTTCAAGAGATCAACAAAGCTAGCTAAGACAAAAGGGGATTTTGTGAGAGTAGCAAGGTTGATAGGAAAGGGGGTTTTCTCAAAGGGTTCGGGGAGAATTTCTTTGAGGGTCAGTGTTGGGGAAACACTGGTTTCGAGTTGCTGGGGAAGCAATTCGGGTTTGAGAAGAGAGTGTTTGATCAATCGGGCTGAGATTGATCAAAGGGTTCTTGGGTAGATAGCTTGTAACGACGAACTTCAACGCAAAATCATAGTGAATCGTCGGAGATCACACAATCGTGATTCTCCGACCGTGGAGTAGTCAGTATTGGGATCCTCTTTCTCCCAATACTGGAAACCACGTAAAAAATCGTGGACTGTCTTCTTACTCTGCATTTCGGTTTCTGGTTTGTCTGCTTCTCTATGTCTGTGTTCTGTTTGTGCAGGAAAGTTTGCCCTATAACAGGCAAGGAAGACGATCCTCAGGACTGGGTTGGAGAACTCGTTGAGACTGGGTTTGATCTAAGTTTCATCATAGTTTTCTGGGTTTTATTTACTGCAGTGTTCTTGTTATTCTCCCTCTGTTCTTCTCTCGAACAAAAGCAGGACATCCTTTAATCGAATTCTCAAGCGGGAAAGGAAGGCTAAGTTCGATTTGAAACTGCCGTTTTGGATCAAACGCAGATGGCCGATTAACTGATTGGGTCGGGACTTTTCGGGCTTAAATACCACTTCTGCATTATTCAAGTAATTGGGCTTGGAAGCCCAGTCGGGTAAACGTTGGGGGTTTAATAAGTGGGCTATGCTATTAACAGTCTAAGTCAGGGTCAGTCGTATTAAATCAGTTTAGCCTAGTGAATTATTAGAGTGGTTTGATCTATCACAATACACATATAAATCAAGGTCTACAGAAATAATTAATAGATAATTAGTCTAGGACCTCATGCTAATCTTTATCATTGAGCTCAATTTGTGACCAAGACAGGTATAAAGTCTCGCGCTCGACGCAACCAACAGATTTCAGTGTGTTATGTAGGTTGCAGAACTCGAATCTGGCTAGATTTGCCCCCTTATTTCTTTCATTCCCCCTTGTATTCTAACTAGCTCTTAGTCACCCCTAATCTTGGCACACACGATTTTCTTCATGGATGAGTAGTCCGACGAGGGAGGGTGCGGGAGGCAGTCATGGACGATGTGGCTGGAAGAGAAGATGAAGCAGAATCGTCCCAGAGAAGCTTCAAGTCGATGAAGCTGAATCGTTCCGGTGATGGTGGCCGGAATGGATTCCATTTTTCTTTGTTTGTTGTATTAAGGGATTCCATCTTGATTTTCCTATTCTTTTTTAAATTTAATATGATTTGAATAAAAAATAATCTGATGTGGCATCTACGTTTGTCGTGGCTGTCACATTTTTTTGTCACATCATCAAAAGTCAATATTGTTTTGACCAACATCTGATCAACCGTCATCTCTACTACCAACACAAATGTCAGAATACAAATAACACAAACGTATCATGAGAAGATATGATTAGAATATTAGATAAAATAGGAAATTTTTGACATTTCGACTATTGTAGGTAGTGATACACTTTTATTTTTTATATTACACGGTTGAATCGCTCATCACCCCAATCGTATATCACAGATATATTTATTTTAATTAGCAGTCACATCCATCACAATTCACAAGTAAAGAAACGTTTTGTTCTTAAAAAGTAATTAAGGATCCAATCCGACATCATGCTTGAGCAGAAGCACCGAAGAGAGGATGATTGTGATTGTGGCCGCCATCCACAATCAAGTTGAGCCCACTCACATACTTGGCATCGTCGCTCGCCAGATACAGCGCCGCCCTGGCAACATCCTCCGGCTCCAACACCGCCCCTCTCAGGTTCCCCGCCGCCGACATGAACTCCTCGGCCGCCGCCTTATCCATCTGCATGCCACGCGTCACCATGGGAGTGGCCACCCCGTAGGGCGAGACAGTGTTGACCCGAATCCCATACTTCCCCATCTCCACCGTCAGATTATTCGCCAGCCCCAGCATCGCGTGCTTCGACGCCTTGTAAGCGTACGACAGATCGGGGGGGGATCGACGACGCCACGCTCCCGGTGAACAGGATGCAGCCTTTCCTCGCCGGGATCATCACCCTGGCGGCGTGCTTGGCCCCGACGAAGGATCCGAACAGGTTGATTTCGAGCACCTTTTTGAAGTCGGCGTTGTCGGAGTTCAAGATGGTGGTGTCGAGGTTGCCCCCGATTCCAGCGTTGTTGTACATGATGTCCAGCTGTCCGTAACGTGAGACCGCTGTGTCGACGGCGTTTGCCACGTCGGAGTCCACGGTGACGTTGCAGTGGACGAAGGAGACGGTCTCCGGCGGGCCGAGTTCCGTGGCGAGGGACTGGCCGAGTTTGTCTTGGAGGTCGGCGATGAGGACCTTGGCGCCGTGCTGGACAAACAGCCTGGCGGCGCTCTCGCCGATGCCGCTTGCTCCGCCGGTGATGAGGGCCACCTTGCCTTCTAGCCTGCAATATATAGAGTATACAAAATGGTCAGCGGGAAGCAATTGATATATTTATTTATATATAACTTGTAAACTTATAATCCATACGTACGATTTAATAACGGAGGGTGCACAGAAATCAGAGCCCATGTTGAGTAATTTCGTGGAGAAATTCGGAACGCGTGATGGAAATGAAGAAGAGAGAGAGAGAGAGTGATCGAAATTCGGAAGTGTAATTTCGTAGAGAAAGGATTGTGTGATTGTTTAGGTTTATGTGTTGGCTCTATTTATACAGGCAAAAGTTAAGCATGTGGCAGAGGCGGCTGCGTTTCATCCTTTGATATCGTCAAATTCTTTCAGAAGCGGCGTAAAAGTCAAGTCCGTCTATAGGATTTTTTTTCTTCAAACCTTTAACATTCTCTGGTGTTCGAGATATAGATAAGGACTATTATCATGTTGTTCAAGTAGAAAGTCTTTTCTTGTTCTTTAATGTTGCGACTTGAAAAAGGAAAGAAAACTAATATTAATCATCCCTTTTTGTTGAAAGATTCCCTATCTACGCGTACTAAACACCAATAGTTACTTCATGATGCGGTTCACCTTCTTAAGCCTTCAAATTTAAATAGTATTTTAAGTCATTCCTACTGTAACATGCATGTCATGGTCATAGAAACATGTCCTCCATCTATCTGCTCATAAGTTGAAAAACAATCTCTACTTGGACACATACGCTACGGGAAAAATGGCCTCTTGCAACTACCACCAATGTGTTACGTTATGTGTTAAAAGAGTTGCGAAAACCTATCGCAACACTTTTGGTAGGGCCTTTTCCAAGTGACATACATTTCAACTATTGTAATGGTGCATTTTTATTTTTATTACACGGTTGAATCGCTCATCACCCATATCGTACATCACAAATATTTTTATTTTAATTAGCAGTCACATCAATCACAATAAAGAAACGTTTTTTCTCAAACATATAAACACAAGTAATTAAGGAACTAACGATCGATCCAATCCGATCATGCTTGAGTAGAAGCACCGAAGAGAGGATGATTGTGATTGTGGCCGCCATCCACAATCAAGTTGAGCCCACTCACATACTTGGCATCGTCGCTCGCCAAATACAGAGCCGCCCTGGCAACATCTTCCGGCTCCAGCACCGCGCCTCTCAGGTTCCCCGCCGCCGACATAAACTCCTCGGCGGCCCTCTTATCCATCTGCATGCCACGCGTCACCATGGGAGTGGCCACCCCGTAGGGCGAAACAGTGTTGACCCGAATCCCATACTTCCCCATCTCCACCGTCAGATTATTAGCCAGCCCCAGCATCGCGTGCTTCGACGCCTTGTACGCATACGACAGATCCCCGCTGATCGACGACGCCACGCTCCCGGTGAACAGGATGCAGCCTTTCCTCGCCGGGATCATCACCCTGGCGGCGTGCTTGGCCCCGAGGAAGGATCCGAACAGGTTGATTTCGATAACCCTCTTGAAGTCGGCGTTGTCGGAGTTCAAGATGGTAGTGTCGAGGTTTCCTCCGATTCCGGCGTTGTTGTACATGATGTCTAGCTGGCCGTAACGTGACACCGCTGTGTCGACGGCGTTTGCCACGTCGGAGTCCACGGTGACGTTGCAGTGGACGAAGGAGACGGTCTCCGGCGGGCCGAGTTCCGCGGCGAGGGACTGGCCGAGTTTGTCTTGGAGGTCGGCGATGAGGACCTTGGCGCCGTGCTGGACGAACAGCCTGGCGGCGCTCTCCCCGATGCCGCTTGCTCCGCCGGTGATGAGGGCCACCTTGCCTTCGAGCCTGCAATATAAAATGGACGACGTTTCAGCGGGAAGCCATTGATATATTTATTTATTGATAACTTGTAAACAATGATCGAAACGTACGCCTTGGTAACTGAGGGTGCACAGAAATCAGAGCCCATGTTGAGTAACTTGGTGGAGAAATTCGGAAGACTGATCGAAATGAAGAAGACGAGAGATGTGGTACTTATTATACGATGATGGTCTGCTGTGGTTTTGAGAAAGGTTTGTGTGTGTGATTATTTAGGCTGATGTGTTGTTGGCTCTATTTATACAGGCAAAAGGTAGCATGTGGCAGAGGCGGCTGCGTTTCATCTTTTTGATTTCGTCAAGTTCTTTAAGACGCGGCGTAGAAGTCAAGTCTGTATATAGGATTTTATTTCAAACCTTTTGCATTCTCTGGTGTTCTATAGATAAGGACCATTATTTAGGAGTAGAAAGTCTTTTCTTGTTTTCTAATGTTGAGATTTGAAGAAGGAAAAGAAAATTTATCCTGCCGCACACAATCAGAAATTGGCGGTCCTATTTATATGTATCAACTCGTCAAACTTGATGGTCAATAATTTGGATTGATTTATAGGAGATTAAGTGAGAAGTGTTTAAATTGCTTGTTTGTGTGTTTTTTTTTAATTCATGTTTAGTCTTTATGACAATATAAATCTAAAATTTAGATCATTTATGAATGTTAGTAGGTTTTATGAAAATATATTTATAAGGAAAATTTTGATAACATTACGATTTGAGTGTTCGAACAAATAATGTATGGTTATATATGTTCATGAACCCATGAGTACCCATTGGGTTGTGTTTTCTCTTCTAAAATCCAATGTGTATTTTATCGAATTTTATTGATGTGTGCTCCCACTGGTTTTGATTTGGGTTTAGAGAAACCCAACTCGTGTCATAATCCCTACCCACAACCCCATCGTATACACCCACTACCAATCCAACCCAATCCGAAAAATGTGGCTAGATAGCTTATCACAATTGTGTCAACTTGTTAATAAGCAAATGAGTCTATTGCACTCAACGCACCCTAAATATTACCATAAAGTAAAATCTTTATAAATTAGTACACGATAAATTAATATTACCATATAGTGAAATCTCTATAAACTAGTACTCGATAAATTAATAATTTCTCTTATTTCGAGTTCGGCCAGTGTAAAAAATGAGCAAATTTAATAAAATAATAAGATAATAATTTTTGAGAACCAACCTACATAAATACATGTATTTTCAATTCTATAAATGAATAGCAGTAAGAATATAATTCATCAAAAAATTTATAATATAACTAGGATAATCTAGCAAAATATGAATCTATAGTTTTTTGTTTCTTCTTGAATGTCAAGTCTATTATAAGTTCATCACGAACTTCCCTAATTGACTCAAAATCGACGGTATTGTCTTATGTAATTTTAACGAGTATTTTTGAAAAGTTGATGCGGCTTTAACGACTACAATAACATATAATACTAATATAATGACCATACACCAATAATAGTTAATAAATTGCTGAGACTACTAATATTGTCACATCACTTTCACAAAACAAAAATAAAAACAAGTCTCCCACTATCCTCCAAATTCATCTTTTACGTACATTATTTGAAGCACATTATTTTAAACTATCCCGAATCCCCTTGAAATAAAAAGAAATGACTAAAAATAAATATAAATTAATATAAATTATCTGAAGACTAATGTAAGCCAATAACAAAACGAAATTCATCCGTTTATTACGAGAAGTATACTGCACGACAATAGTGGAATTACTTTATTTAATAGGAATACAAAAAAATATATAATTCTTTGGAACATAAGCAATTGAAAGCAATTACTTTGCATCGCTACCAGCATATATAGCTGTAAGTATATCAATAATTACTTTCTCCAATCCGCCCAATTATTTCACTTATTCGTTAATTATAACCTTACAAATTATTGCATTTATTCTCTTCCAACACAGCTTGCATTGGCGCACCAATTTCACTTTCACCCCAGGTTCTTAGTCATACTTTACAGAACTTTTTCTTTTCACTACCCGCTACCCGACATTAATTACCTCAATACAAACATGTTATTATGCATTTGCAGTAGACATTACATATTCCAATTCACATATGTTTATGGGTGTGGAAGGAGTAAATTGTATTTCATCCCGACAATCATTCAATCTAGCATTTCATATATTTACTTTGCAAGTTTACTACGATCAGAATATATTCATAGTTATGTATGCTAATATCCTTATCTTTGTTATTTAAACTACGCATTCCCTACATTTAGATTGTGCTCATTACATTTTTGTGAGTTAGACTGATATATATTGTGAAAAATAAAAAATAGTTTACTGATGTTTTTATTGAAGGTTAGCCAATATGCAATCTCGTCTGATTTTTAATCTCACAACTTAAATTAAAAGAGGAACTGTATTCTTCAATATCGTGTTTTGAGGAAGTGGTTGTCACTCAACCCTAAGACAAATGTTATTCTTCGTCTAGATATGATAGTCATTGACTCAAAGGTAAACAATCAAAACAAAATTATCTTTGTGATCCAATACATTGACAATTATTGATACGCCTATTTTTAACCCAGGGCGATGATATTTTGGGGCAAATTCCCAAAGGGCAAATCATTAACTTCCATCCCCTGTTTCAGGATCAAAGAGTTTACACTATCAATAATTTGGATTGATTTATAGGAGATTAAGTGAGAAGTGTTTAAATTGTTTGTTTGTGTGTTTTTTTTTTAATTCATGTTTAGTATTTATGACAATATAAATCTAAAATTTAGATAATTTATGAATGTTAGTAGGTTTTATGGAAATATATTTATAAGGAAAATTTTGATAACATTACGATTTGAGTGTTCGAACAAATAATGTATGGTTATATATGTTCATGAACCCATGAGTATCCATTGGGTTGTGTTTTCTCTTCTAAAATCCAATGT